AAAGGTGTGTTCATAGAGATTACGACTGTCCCTGATGGCATAGGTCTTTTTTTACATTCAGTAAGCTACCATTGATGACATTTGTTACAAATGTAACATGTGAGCAACTGCATACAGATTTGAACATCATGAGAAATAACACATCCACCCTAGTTTCAGTTTCATTTTTATGATTTATAGCTGTAGCGGTGGGCTCTTTACTTATAAATTTAACAGCTCCCCATATTTGCTGCCTGGAAGGGTTAGTCAGTTGTGAGGAATTAGATAAGAAAAATTAGATTATGGAACCCTGTATGTAAAAGATATTAGTTGTATTACCATATATTAGATCTGTCAAGTAAGGAAATATGCCATGGTTCAAAGTTAACTTGAAGTATTGTTCAGCATATGTGCCATTGCCAGATTTCATGATAAGAACCCTCATTCTTTTCAGATAAAATCATGGTACTAGAAAATGTGCATTAGATAAGGCCCCGTCCTTGGTTGCCTAAACCAGATACCACTATTGAAGCCATAGGGTGTGTCATTTTATTGATCTAAATGTAGTTCGTAGCTTTGCATATTACTTTCATAAATGTTACCAAAAAAAAATCAAATGGAAAAGTGATTTGATTTCCTTTAAATAAGGATGTCTGAGTTCCAAATATAGGAGGACAGTGACTAACCTAAAAAATTCTTATCTGCACTGGCCCATGTCCAATAGCTTGGGGGCCATATTCCTCAGGTCTACTGGTAATGTGCAAGAGTGGCCTGTGTTACTGAGCTCTAAATGTGAAGATATATTTCCCTTGCATAGTTCTGCAGGGAAAAGATTGTATCACCCCCTTTAGTCACAACTATAACCCCATAATTGTGCTGCACACTAAAAGTAGTGCCCGGAGGACATTGCTGATATGGCAAAGATAATGGATTAAAGCACAGTGGATAAGGCAATAAATTGTGTTACTGTTTGGGTGAAAGAAGAAAACACTTTTACAATCTATTTTCCAGTGTTGACAACTTTAGAACGTTGTTGAATGTTGTCACAGGTTTTGCAGGAATTTTCCATAAACATGAATCTGATACCAGCTACTGGGACAGTTAGTGATAAATAACAGTAGAATGGTTATTTGCTATACTGGAACATCATGAAAAATTGGAAGATTGCATATGACAAAGCTGTTACAACGGTACCTATCTAACTACACTTAAAGAACATCAGAAATAAATCAGCATTGTGATTGTTCTGATAGTTACAGAAAGAATACTTAATGGATACTGACGAGGATAGGAAGCAATTGTCCTCACAGAAAATTGGCTACTTGTCTTATCCATGTATTCCTCTCTATTACAGACACGGTCAAATTGTGCTTCCCTAAATTTGATTTCTTCGTCTGTATTAAGATGGATAGTGGCAGGGAAAACCATGGGTGTTCAAAAAAGACCCACATTTTTATTAATGTTGCAACACCCAGCAAAATTTCTGATCCTTTTTATACAGCTATCACAATGTAAGAAAAACTGGGCATGTTAGAACATGCCATTCCGCCAGAAACGGTGATATATTGCTCCTTGTATAGCTCTTGTTTAAATGCCGAACATTATGATCGGAGGCTGAGAATATTCACCACTATTCGCATAAAATAAACATCTTGTTCACTCAAGAAGACCCACAAAGTCAGGCCTGTCAGTGTGATGGAAATGATATTTTTTATGAACTCCCTAGAGGACATAAAGCTGTGCAGGGACTTGAGATATGCGATACGGCGCAAGGTAGTTCCATCGGAATACAGCATTCAGTTCTAACTGGGTCTTCCCTAAAGGTAGTTTCTCTCACAGTATTAGGTGTCCCTGGTGTCCTGATTTCGGTAAATTAGAAAGAGCTTAATAGGGCAGAGCTGCATATTCAAGCTGGGCAGGTGCAGAGGGTGGCTTGGCCATTACTGCGTCCTGTTTACTGATTTGGCCCCCATCTCGGGTGGTGATAGTAGCGGTATGCATGCGCCACGGTTGCCGCATATCGATTG